TATATATATATATATGTATAGTAGAGCTCAAACAAGAGTCGTTTATTGTTTGAAACTATTTCAAGTGCTTCAAAGAGGAATGACAACTGCTTGGTATAGGTAACTGGAGTGAGAAAACTAGAAATATTAGTTCAACTTGCAATAATAACTTTTGCCACAGAAACATGTCTGTGTGTATTAAATTGTATAATCTATCTAAAGAGAAGCCAGAGTGTACAGCAACTCGATTGGTGACATCCAAGGCAGCAATCCAACAGAGAGATCTGGTGTTATGAAATGATTTGGGCATTACCTAGATCCTGATCTCACCTAATCTCACCTGAACTTTCGCTGATTGTGTTTGGCAGATAATTAACTCAGTTTGTGCGAAGATAACTAACTAAATAATACCACCCAGGGATTGTAGGAAAACCAGTGTAACTATATTGAATAAACAAAGTTGGAAATAAAAAAGCAACCTTTATTCTGGCATTTGTACTGTTGATTGATTTACCCAGCTGTGTTATCGATTGGATGCATTCCTACAGGGGTGTTTTACACATAGATCGGTCTTTTCTTCCCTGTTGTTGGTGCCTCGATTGTGAGCATTTCAAAGTACCGCTATGATTCATAGGAGCCAGCTTTTTAGTTTAACAGGAAGGACCTTTTAAAAGTACTATAGACACAAATGTGCAACGCCCCATTTCATAGAATTCTATTTATTTCATCAAGAATTACCACCAAAAGCAGATTACTTACTTTAGGTACCAGCTTGTGGTTATTGCTTATGTTTTGTGAAGCGCTATGTTTGAGAGTGAGTTTTATTTTAAAACATTGGTACGATACTATATAATTTGGGTGGCATTTTTGGTTGAACTGACGGCTCTTAGACATAATGAATATTTTCTGATGTGATCATCACCCTAGAGGATTTACCGAACGCAGCAAAACCCTAGACAGCAGTGACTGATCGAGAAGCTTTCTTCTAGGAAGTCAGGCTATTAGTGGTGAATTAGCATGCCTTGGGAGTCCAACAAGTGCACTGAAGGACCGCGTTTCGGGGAGCTCATAAATTCACTCGCACTTTCTGCTTTTGTAGGCAAGACGAAAATTATTGTTTTGAATGCTGATTTCTGGTTTTATTATTAATATTATTATTATCTTTATCCAGTAAGCTTACCAAACCTGTCTGAAATTTTTCAAACTTCTTCCCCTCCAGTTTTACAGCATTTATTAGAGCCTAATGATCCACAAATTTTGACCACGTCTGCGGCGTTGATCAAGGTCATACAAACATATCTCTATCAAAGTTAGCATGCAATCGAACACAACGGTGTTGTTTGCATGTCAGATTTTGACACTTTCTAGTATTATGTCACAATTTGCAAGTGGATGATTGTCAAAAGCATGTGCTAACAGAATCGTCTCACATTCGTCAGGCATTTTTGTTCGTGTCCGCCAGTCTGGCATAGATAGTACACATTATTACGGACCATATCTGCATTCGCCTTAGTTTCAATAAAATCAATAATAAGTGGCCAGAAAATAGATATCAACCGCATTATTTGACACTTGAAATTCCGAAAACACATATCCGCTTATGATTAGGATCACCGTCGTGTTTGAATCCCACCATCACCGCTGACTTCCCTTATTGTGTGTTAAATAGCAGCCAATTTTCCTTCCTGAAAATATTGTAATAAATTCAATCGAAAAAGTAAAATGACAAGATAACATTTCAGAAGATTACTTTTTTCTTTTCCCGATCACATTTTAAAACAGTTTGCTAAAACCTGAATTGTGGAGGAATCTCAGTTATGATTGGTCGCTATAAACAGCGATTTGCTCCAGCGCTCGTCGTTTCAAAAATCATTTCCAGAGTGGTTTTTAAATAACCGGACGTAAATGGTTGATCTTCAAGAATAAAGTTTAAATTCCTGTATTGCATGGTAAACCGCTGAAGGAGTCTCTTCTCTGAGGGCACGTCACCAAGCGCGATAATCTAAATAAAGAGGCAGTCGATATTCGGTGGTGCATCATCGCATAACAAAAGACTATAATTTAATCAGTGGTGAAACCTAGTACTACCATTCTGGAGGAATGCAGTCAGATACACTGTGGTAGGTTTCAACTTCCCGAGTTTACATTGAGACCTTGCGCATTTCGCAAATAAAAATACTGTAAACACAGCATGAACGTTTGTTTATCATGTTGTTTTGACTGTTGCCGAACTATTCCGTAGAGTGTGCATATTTGATTTTATCGTTACGGTGTTTTAGTGTGTCACTGAAAGATGAAATGACCTTTGACCCCAAAAATTAAAAAGAAACTAAGTAGAAAGGGTTTAGATGGATATGCTTGCCAGTATTCGCGAGCTAAGTGTATTTGGCTTCATGCACTTATATACATACACAGACACTAAAACATACACACCTACCTTTCCCCATTGTTCTGGGACAAACTCCGGTTTGCAATCTATCCGATTGCATGCTGCGTGCTTCTCCGGTTGTGGATAATGCCCACAAAAGTATCCAGCTTCATGTTCTTGCACGACCACGTCTCCATCCGGCCCAGTATACACACAGTCCACATCGCGTGTCATGGTGCCGAAACCACCGCATGTCTGAGAACAATGACCCCAGGGTGATACACGCCAGCGGTAGCCTTGACAAGCTCCCAAATTGCACAAACGTTCGACAACGTGATTACCGCCGGCATTTGTAGTGATCGGATGCGGTTGGCTAGCGCACATACTATCATCATGCACAGTGAGAATATCGTACATATCACGTGAGACGCATTTGTATTGTCTGCGCTGTACACCCGGACCACAAGTAGAAGAGCATGAGGACCACTGATCGGTTTCTAGCCAATATGGGGATCTGAATGGATGGGATTAAAGCAATTAATTAGGCAATGAAAATGAAAACATCAGGTTGCTCAAAAGAATGTTTACTTTCATTACCGTTTTTGTAAGCACAGATAGGCAAAACGCGTTCGTAAAGTTACCAGACTTAAGAACTAGATTTGGTACGATCTGACCAGGTAATCAGTGGGAAAGAGCCCGAGGAGTCACATAGTCAACACTTCACATCACCATTACCAGCCTGATGCTTCCTAGTGTATAGCTGAATTGATGAACCGAGGATTGTGCATGAAGGTGGAGTCCGAAGGATAGTCAATCCAATTAATTGATATCATTTATCCCAAACACACTACTCACAGGCAACCATGAGTCAAATGCGAAGAACAATCAAGCCTGGTAGGTATGTGGTAAGTCACTCCGTAACGTGCATGGAAATCCTGACTTGGTGGGAGGCTTCCGATCGGAGTTAGCAGGTTGTCATCTGCGTCGATGCTGTCGGGCAAAATGAGCTGACTGACTATTACTGAAGACAATACCTGAACAAACATTAATTGTCAATTTGGTTCAGCCATAGCATGAGCTGGTTAGCACAGTGGTAACACACACGTTTACCATGCGATGGGTCCGGAGTTCAAATCCCGTACAAGACGGTGGATATGCCTTCCTGATGAGCTCTAATAAGAGCAAAACTCGAGTCTTGTGCTTCCGAATGTGTGATTGAATCGATGAACTGAGGATTGTGCGTGAAGGTGAAGTCCAAAGGATAGATAGTCAGTAAAATCAATCAGTTGCCAATATTATACAACACGTTGTAAAAAGAAAATTTGTTTTTATTCTCTTCAATAACTTCGTGCAAGAAATTCCCAAGTTATGGACTAATGAGGTAGGTTAATTTCATCGATCGTTTCTATAAGGTAGTCCTTTCGTGGGAGAAATCATGTTATAATTTCTCGAAATGTTCATTTTTTTATGTATAGTATCAGAACTTCCGAATTTCCCGTGTATCTATGCAGTTTGTAACTATTCCACGTGGCTAATAGACGTTTTGTGCATTTCATTCTAATAAAAGTTAGGCTGTTGAATGAAGATAGACTTCATGATAATTTGTATTTTGAACACAGAAAAGGTCTCTGTAAACCATTGTGGACGTTGCGTAACATAAAACCTGTTATCTATTTATTGCACAGTTTAAGAAAAGAGTAGAATAACCACCCGATTTGGTTTACATCACATACTAAGCTTGAAGTTTTATGTAGTTTGATAATGACTCTAACTGCAAAGAAAGTGGAATAATGCACTTTGTTTTACTTCAGACAACGGTTGACTTGGCACTTGATAGGCATATCGGCCATAGATTTCATCTAGTGGAATCCGTTCAATACTAACTGAAGACTGCCATGACAGCTGATAGATATGCCGTTGTAATTGGGGACGATATTTATTTGTAAAAGGATCAGAGATGAACGAAACATTGTAACCCAGGTGGCAGGATGTACGTTGTACAGATTTCTCGGCGGTATCTCAGGTTGATTGTGAATCCGATCGGTATCCCTTAATCTTTGGCAATTTACACTATGCTAATGTTGCCAATAGACCCAGTAAAGTATCCCTTGAATTCATCTCCTCTGTACTGGAAGACAGCTCACATTGTTTTCCATCAAAATCGAAAGCCTTTGGTATGACGCGTACAGCCGAAAGTATCACAATGACTATTGAGCAAAACGTTTAGTGCACCATATAATATTCCTTTCATGATTCTAATTCTTAGTACGATTAGCGTGCCTCTTAAGCGCTCAGCTAAAAGATTTATTATTAAACATTGGGAAAATTCTAGAGATAACTACAAAGATGTATCGAGAGGCGTAAAAGCAAGCTACGATTGGTACAGTAATTTGATGACACCGTGATCCGGGTAACGTAAAGTTAAAATGGGTCATTGACATTTTCGGGGATCGTATGAAAAACTGCCTACAAGAACCCATTCAAATGCATGTATGTTAGTAAGTTACTTACTGAGGGAAGATCTGTCGAATAATCGGCAGAGCTATGAACCTATATTCGCCACCTTTCCGATCGCAAGTAACCGAGTTATTTTTACTTATTGTGTAAATATCACCGGAAAAATCAACCATGGATTTTTCTTCACCAAATGAATTCGTTTTGAGTGTATTCTAGATGAAACATTTTAATATTGACTTGCCATTGTGAATTCTGGTCACGTAGAAAGATATATGCACAACAATCGTTGAATTACTAACAGGTGTTTTGTTTCTGAAATGCAACGAACGCTCCACAGATCATTTAGGAGTAGTGATAACCTTGTATGTCGACTTTTAGATCAAAGAGGAAATAGCGGCACACACTTGTGGCAGCGAATGGGAACAAAAAATGGATAACAGCCAGTTTTGTTTCTAGCGGGACGTTTAGCTCCGTTACATTGATTAAATCTAACATTTGTTGAAGGATGGTTTCGGGGACCTCACAGTAATGGTCACGGTGCTTTAAAAATTAAAAAAGGATCCAAATGTGAATACATTCCACCAGTAATATCAATTTGTAAAACCCTACAATACACTGTATGATGGATAGCTCAAATCAAATCACAGTTCTCTTTGAATCTAGTGAAATAAAATTGAAAGTGACAAAAGAAAAGAATAAGTCACTGTGATGGGATAATAGAAATATATCGCAAGTGTAATGGTGTTTTCCACGGCACCGATGGTTTCATTTCTATAATAAAATGACACGAATATAGGACTAACTGCTTGAACATAAGTATCAAAATTCCAAAGTTCGCATTGATCCATGTGAAGCCGAATGAAGTACGCTCACAGTCTGCTGAAATAAAATACCAAAACCTGCTTGTTGTGTACAAACAGTTTTTTTCAAAAAAACACCCAGATGCTTCTTTTAAAACCACATAACTAAAATGCGTGAAGTGAAAATGAACAGTTGCCACGTGGCGCCTGCACAGAGCATCAGGTACGGTATGTAGAATGGGTAATGTGCTATCCTCAGCCACCCTTATATGGCCTTCCATAAGTCGGACAAAAAAGACAGTTCCCCTTGTCACTCACGATTAGAAGCAACCATGCAATATTAGTAGCGAGCCAAAAAGGCTTACGAATTCAATGTGTCTGGGAGCTATCGCTTTGATTGGCTCCATATTGTAAAAGTTATTTCTTTGCGCACCGCCTCTATATTCCATAACCGCCTCATTTGCGCAATGTGAACCAACCGAAACTGAGGTTTACTCCAAATGCACTATAGTAAGTGAATCGCTAGTTTAATGCAGACCTGTTGGCTCATAAAGCAAAACTCTCGTTCGTCCTTGGGGGTTTGTATCTGCACATGCATATATGCACATGCTCTTTTGTTTGGTTCGAAATCAATGAAACCGTTCTCGCGACGGGTTTAGTCAAAGAAACAACCACTGCTCGTGTGCGCTTGCTTCCGTCCTTGATCGGACAATCTGTAAATACCCTCGGATGAAGGGACTGTTTCTTTGCATCTACACCACAAATATGAGGAGCTTCTAATCAGTTCGAAAAGCTGTCAATATGCATAGTGTTCCAATCTACCCATACTAATTTAAAGCTACACGTCTGGAAACACGAATTTCGGACAGCGGTTCTCGGAAATGAATAAAAGTTCGGGAAAGAACTGTGGTATTTTACTTTCATCCAACGAATTTACCTCTAACGGAGTCAAACTAAACTTAAACTGATATCTACGGTCCGTCGCAGGTTCTCATGTTTGCGGTTTTACACCTTGAGTTTATAGTTGTTCGATTGTATTCTTTATCTTTTCCAAAAAGTCATAATTTTTCGTCTACTAGAGACGAAATCAAGCCTTATGGTTCATCCTAGTTTGTAAACCTCTTTTGTAGCATTGTTGACTACTGAACCCTCTT